GATAGTTATCACTGACGGGCTTCCTGTCAGCGATAATTTGTACAGTGTTGACGAACAGCCGTCAGCAACAAAAATCACTGACGGATTCCCGTCAGTGATGTTATATTCATCGCTGACGGGGTTCCCATCAGCGATGTTCCATTATAACTGACGGCACTTGCCGTCAACATTGTTTCCGTCAGTAATAACCATTACTGACGGCGCCCTGTCAGCGATAGTTTTTCCCTGACAGGACTATTGCTGACAACGTATCCTTGACGGGATGCCGTCAAGGATACTTATCGCCGACGGGATTTTAAGCATTCCTAACGGGAATGCCCGTCAACGATACCTGTTTTTCCACTAGTGGATGTTGCTGAAAGAAAGAATTAAACATTGCTGAATATAGTTAGATGCATGTTGTCTCATTCTGGTCTCTCTAAAATTTTTGGAGAGAAGCATTGTTAACTGCAAACTACATTTTAAATAGAATTTCCACCAAGTCAATTATATCTATACCATATGAATTATGGAATGTAAGGAAATCTAATCTGAGTCATCTCAGGAAGTGGGGATCTATAGCCCATGTTCTCATTCCATATCAACTTAGAAATAAGTTGCATTTTAAAACAATAAAGTGTAGATTAATAGGCTATTCAGAAAAGGCAAAGGGGTACAAGTTCTACAATAAAGAAAAAAGAGTCATTAAAGCAGAGATGCTACATTTCTAGAGGATCTAGAGGAAGAGGAACAAGTTCAAGATGAAATAGAACCTCTAACTGTAATAGGTGATGATTATTACAGTGTTATTCCCAGTAATAATCTAGATATTATGAATGAACCTAACCTTTAAAATGATGAAATACCTATAGAAAATAATGTAACTCATCAACCAGTTCTAGGTAACAAAAGACTAAGAATACAATCTTCATGGATGAATGATTACTATTTGTATTCATGTGAGACCATCTTGTTTCTCGGTAAATACAAATATAGAAGAACAAGATTCCTTAATCTTCTCTGATGCGATGAAATCGTATGAATCAGCTTTATGGCTAGAATCCATGAGAGAAGAACTTGATTCTATAGAAAAGAATAAAGTATGAGAGTTATGTGATTTACCAAAAAATAGAAAAGTCAAAGGATGAAAATGAGCACTTAAAAAGAAATATCGTGTTGATGGATCTATTGATAAATTTAAAGCATGATTAGTTGCCAAGTGTTACAAACAGAATGCAGGAATAGATTTTTAGGAGATGTATTCTCCTGTAGCTAAGTTTGCATCTATTAGAATAATTCTGGCTATCGTTGCATATCTTAATTTGGAGTTATTCGAAATGGATGTTAAAATTACATTTCTTAATGAAGAGTTGAAGGAAGCGATATATATGCAACAACCTAAAGGTTTTCAGGTGACAAGAAAGGAACATAAAGTTTACAAATTAATGAAATCTCTATTCGGTTTAAAATAGTCTTCTAGACAGTGGTATCTCAAATTTCAGATGCAGTCACCAAACTTGATTTTATTCAAAATAAATTAGATAATTGTGTATATGTCTTGAAAAGTGAGTGTAAATTTACTATATTATCCTTATATGTGGATGATATATTGCTCGCCGAAAATGACATAAAAATATTAAATAAAATCAAGGCAGATCTCAGCGAAAAGTTTGAGATGAAAAACATGGGAGATGCATCATATATTCTTAGAATTCAAATAATTCGAGATAGAAAGTCTAGAATACTAAGTTTAAACCAAGAATAGTATTTAAGATCGATTCTAAAAATGTTTGGAATGGAGAATTCCAATCTTGCACCAACTCCGTTGGTCATGGAAAAGAGATTATATAAAGAGCAAAGCCCTAGAGAGGGGCAAAAGCCATTAGATATTTCTTATGCTCAAGCAATTGAAAGCTTGACGTATGCAATATTATGCACCAGACCTGATATAGCTTATGCTATAAGTCTAGTCAGTCGATGTCAAAGTAATCCAGGACCGGCATATTGGAAAGCTATTAAAAGGATTATGAAGTATATCAAAGGTACATTGACTCATAGATTGGTTTATCAAGCCGATTCGTTTGATCACCTCGGTTACTCTAATATTGATTTCGGAGGTGATAAAGATGATGGAAAGTCCACTTCGGGATACTTGTTCATCTCTGGAGAAGGAGTTGTTTCTTAGAGTAACAAGAAACAATGATATGTTGCTAGATACATACAAGAAGCTGAATATATAGCTTACAGCATGACAACTACACATCTTGTCCGGATAAGATAGTTTTTGGTTGATCTAGATCTCAATTTGTTAGAAGGACCTATTGATATTTATTATGATAATCAAGCATCAATTAGCTTGATCAATAGTGATACGAATAGTTTCAAAGGAAAACATATTAAGATCCAGTATCACTACATTCGAGATATTGTAAAAAACTAGAGAAGTTAAAGTGACTTATATCCCCACTACAGATATGATTGCTGATCCTTTGACAAAGAGAATACCAGGGAAATCCTTTATCAAACATATAAGTTTGATGGGACCTAGGAATAAATAAGTTCAAGTAAATTTCATGAACATGAAATTGGAGTTGCTCTCTATGGGAAATATTCGTGGAGATAAAGTTACTGATATTTATCTATACAATTAACTATACTCTAAATCAAGTAAACTTGATAGTACATACAAGTATAATATTAAATAATCATCCGTCGTCCATCATGGAGGTTGGATAGATTTGCTCTCTACTCAAAAGTCCCTTAATTTGAACCTCTCTAGAAGATCCAAAACAATTTGTAGAGAGAAGATCCATCTTTGAAGACGAGAAAAATTCGTCAATTAAAATACAAAAAAAAAAACAATTTGTAGAGAGAAGATCCATCTTTGAAGACGAGAAAAATTCGTCAATTAAAATACAAAAAAAAAAGAAAAGAAACATTTTCCAGAAGTCTCTTTAATGCCCCCCTCCTCAAGTGTTTACTGCCGCCTTGAGAAAAGGGAGGCCATATTTACTCTGACTGTGACAACTCCCCTCCCTATAAAGTTTGATACTTAAACTCACTTGTCCTCTTGATTCATTCAAAGCCTCTGACCAGATTCTTCACGTGAGCCTGCAATAGTCACCAGTACTCCTCAACAGTACTCGTTACATCCACTAATTGATATTAGCCCATCATATCTTTGGTATTCCTAAATAAATCATTTAAATCATTTAAATGGCTCTAATTAGAAAATTAAGTCCTGTAGCTATTTTAGGTCTAGTCCCTTAATTCATAAAACTGCCATTACGTAAGAGCGGTGTTAGGGGCACACCATGAGGCACACCTCCGGTCACACTCCCCCACCTGCTACAGTGCAGGGGGCCCCACAGGAGATTTTTTTAAAAATCTCCTGTGGGGCCCCCTGCACTGTAGCAGGTGGGGGAGTGTGACCGGAGGTGTGCCTCATGGTGTGCCTCTAACACCGCTCTTTATGGAAATAATAGTTCCATTTCCTTAAGTTTCCTCAATCAAAATGAAGTGTGCTGAGTTCTTAATGCATCAACTATGATTTATATTGATCACATTTTTTGGCATTTCAAGGGTAACTGGATATATTGTTTTTGTTACCAAGCTACTACGTGTACCATATTATACTAAATAGCTATTGTCTATTGCCTGTTTATGATCTGTTTAAGAAACTAATTTGGTGCATAATCATATCGTGCATATCTCATCTTTCAAAAGTACAACATCCTATTTTCTGACTTACTTTTCTCAGGATAATTATCCTTTCTTTTGTCTGGCGCATGGTGCTTCCCCAAAGTTGGTACTATTAACTTGACACTCACAATTCATCACTTCTTTGATACTTGAGTAACTTATTTGATAAATTAAGGTTAGTATTCCTTAATTAATCTAGGCAGTTTTATAGCAGGTATTTGTAACCGATAAACTATTGGAATTGTGGTTTCTGTATATGTGATATTCATAAGATCTTGCAATGTGATGATTGATAACAATGAATTTGATGATTTTGGCGAAGGCAAACATTAAGTTGCTTCCTTTGTGCATGTTGTAAGGAGACACATACTGTAGGCAGAATCTTAAGATCAGTTTAATCTATGCATTCTACAATAGACTAAAGAAAGAAGCCTCTTAGATATCTCAACCCATCTTATAAGTAAACTTTGTATCCTGAGAAGATCATGCATATGAAAAACTTACCTCGAAGTACTCAATAACTTTAGTTGAATGCTGACCCAATGGCCCAGCATATATCAATTCACCTCCCCTTTTCATGAGAATTAGCTGCATGAAGATGAAAAAAAATCCGGAAAAAACTGAATCAAATGGCGGAGAAAAAGTAATCCAAACAAAAGAAGTCATTCATTTAATGGCCGTAGCAAGAACTCAAGGTATAGGAAGAAGAACTCTCCATTGACTATAGTTCAAATAATCAATTTATTCAAATAATCAGTTTAATGTATAAGTAATTAGGGCTCTTTAAGAATTTTAGAGTATAAATATCTGTTGAGAATGTAATGTAATTAAAGAGTGTTAGAGGGCTTTTGTGTAAATGTGTGTAAGGCTATATAAGCCAACAATTCTATCAATGAAGGATAACTTGAAGCCCTAATTTCTCAATATGGTATCAGAGCTATCTAACCTAGCCGCCTCTCCGTTTGTCTGGTGAACCCGACGATTTCTTTCCCGACATTCCCAAGTTCGTCGACAACGAAGACGACGTCAGCCGAAGTCCCGACCAAACCTATCTCCAACGCCAGCAGACCCAAATCTGCTCCTTTGTCGGTGCAGCCTTCTTCGTCGGTGCAGCCTTCTTCGTCGGACACTTTGCCGAAGCTTTCGCTGGTGCCTTAGCCGGAGATCTCGCAAAGGACACGTCGTTGAAGAAGGCTTGGTTCTCTCGTCGATGCCGACCCCTTTGTTCCGATCTCCCATGGCGTTGTGAAGGATTCTGTCCTTAATCGAGCAGGAGGAGGTGGAAGGAGATCGAGGGGTGGGCCAATGAGAATGCGGCGATGAAGGACGAGCTGGTGGGGGGGAGAGAGAACGGGGAGTCGACCAGGGCGACGACAGAGAAACAGTCAGTGACGAAGAGCTTGGCGAGCTCTGCCGATGAGGAATTGCAAAAGGTTGTGGAATGTGAGTATGTTGTTCGTGGAGAGATCGTTATCAATGCTCAGCGCCTTCAAGAAGAGCTACAAAAGAAACCAGGTAGCCATCCCTCTGTTGAGATACTTAATTGCAACATTGGGAATCCACAGTCTCTAGACCAGCAGCCAGTTACTTTTTTCCGAGAGGTTCTTGCTTTGTGTGATTATCCAACAATTTTGGACAGAGATGAAACTCATGCCTTATTCAGTGTGGATTCCATAGCAAGAGCTTGGCAGATCCTAGACCAGATTCCTGGTCGAGCTACAGGTGCATACATTCACAGCCAGGGTATCAAAGGATTACATGATGCAATTGCAGCTGGAATTGCTGCTCGTAATGGTTATCCTTGCAAAGCAGAAGATATATTCTCAACCGATGGAGCGAGCCCTGCTGTCCACATGATGATGCAATTACTGTCGAGGTCAGAGAAAGATGGCATCCTCTGCCCCATACCTCAATATCCTTTATACTCTGCTTCGATTGCTCTTCATGGCGACCATTTTGTCCGATATTACCTCGTTGAAGAAATAAGGTGGGGACTGGAGATTTCTGAGTTTAAGAAGCAAGTGGAAGATGCTCGATCAAAGGGTATAACTGTCAGGGCACTTGTAGTCATAAATCCCACGAATCCAACCGAGCAGGTTCTTGCAGAAGAAAACCAGCGACAAATAGTGGAATTCTGCAAAAAAGAAGGTCTTGTTCTCCTAGCAGATGGGGTCTACCAAGAAAATATCTATGTTGCACACAAGAAATTTAATTCCTTCAAGAAGATTGCACGATCAATGGGATATGAAGACCAGGATATTTCTTTAGTACCATTTCAATCAGTTTCTAAGGGTTGTGATGGAGAATGTGGAAAGAAGGGTAGCTATATGGAGGTTACCGGTTTTAGCACTGAAGTGAGAGAACAGATTTATAAGGTGGCATCAGTAAATCTTTGCTCAAATATATCTGGTCAAATTCTGGCAAGCCTCGTTATGAATCTACCTAAGGAAGGAGACGAATCCTATGAGTCTTATGTTGTAGAGAGATATGGATGCTGTCTGAAGACGAATTCAATCAACACTTTTGCGTACTGGTTTAAGAACTGTGATGAGCTGATTGATTTCAAGGAGGGTGGGCATACAAGCTTTGAGTATGGGCGATATGGGAACCCAATTACCAAGGTATTGGAGAGGAAGATGAGTGAATTAGAGAGGGCAGAAACTACTTTGTTTGTGTCCTCTGGCATGTATGTCAGTTGTGCGGTGCTCTCAGCCCTGGTTCCTACAGGTGGCCATATCGTTACAACCACTGGTTGTTATAGGAAGACAAGGATGTTAATTGAGAATGAGCTTCCAAAGAGGGGAATTAAGGCTGTCGTTATTGCTCCTGCTGATATGGGCTCTCTTAAAAGAGCATTGTGTGAAAATAAAGTGACTCTTTTCTTTACGGAGTCCCCAACTAAGGTTAAAAAGTTTCATACATTTGACCTTGGGACAAGGTCAAAGTTAAGGGGAGGGAATTGTTAGGAACCGATCATCAGTTGGAAACCAGTCGATTGAGTCAAGAGCTTCGAAAGCTGAGAACCTGGAAGCTGAAGCTGAGGACTTGAACGCTGTGGACTGATACGCAAAGTTCAGGACTGATATACAGAGTTTGGGGCTGACTGGTAAAGACTTTGAACTACAGGGGTTGTCTTGCAAACAGTTAGCTGAATCTGTTTTTCTGTTAAACTGTTTGAGCACGTTTTGTTTTCTAAGCTTTGAAGTTGAGTTGTATAAATAGAAGGTTGTAAGGATCAAACACTTATGATATGAATGAAATGAATTGATTTCTTTCTCCTCAACTCAGTTTACAATTTTTTTTCTCTGTTCCCTCTCTTTCAATTCTCTCTCAATTTTCCCTCTTGCAAAAACTGTTTCAATCTTGTTTCAGGCTCATCATGGCCAGAATCATCCCCAAAGGAACCGATCGAGGATTCAGGTCCTCACAGAGGTATTGGAAATTATCAGGTGAGAGGTTTTAACTGAGAAATTGTTGTTGCTGAAGAAACCCTTAATTATTAGGTTAATTAATTTAGATATATTTCCTTTTAGAAATTAGTTTTATTGTTTCATTAGAACGTTTTATTGGCAGTAGCAACAGATGCTTACATTGGAGCTAAATTCACCCATCAGTTAGCTTTTTTTGTTAAGTTACCTACTCGCGTCGCATTAATCTGTCAAATTAAGCAGAACCATCATGTTATGTCTAGGTTTAATTAGGTTTTGTTTGAGTTGTTTGTGCGCAGCTTTGAGCTTACATTGGAGCTAAATTCACCCATCAGTTAGCTTTTTTTGTTAAGTTACCTACTCGCGTCGCATTAATCTGTCAAATTAAGCAGAACCATCATGTTATGTCTAGGTTTAATTAGGTTTTGTTTGAGTTGTTTGTGCGCAGCTTTGAGACGGAGCCTTGGTGTTTTGAGTACTATGGCTTCTGTTGTTTTAATTAGTGCGTTTTGGAGTTTCTGCTCTCTCCTATGCGGTTGTTGGCTCGAGGGGGTTTTAGTTTGTGTTATTTGGCTTAGAATGGTGATCGGTCAAGTGTATTACGCCATCTTGCTAGTTTGATAACCCTGGGTGCGCGGCTACGTCCCTCAACGCGTGCCCTCGCATATGCCACAAAATTAATTTCCTATGGGTGCGAGAGTTGAACTTGTGATCTCAGTGTGCTATTTTATGGGCAAGTTACCAACTCGATCGTATCCTCTTGGATGAATGGGACACTTTATCTCATCATTTTTAGTTGGCAATTAACTTAGGGTCTGTTCGTTTGCCCCAAAAAAACATGGAAAACAGGGAATTGAAAACAAAGTGTGACTGCCACATAGGAACAAGGTTTCGGGTGATTTCCATTTCACCTGTTCGTTACACAAGCTAATTTAGAGAAATGGGGTCTTGAAATTGGGTTCCACGTTGGACTTTGGGAAATATTGTTTTCAGCTGCATTTGGCGTGAAAACAGATGAGAAATCTCCACTACGCCCATTAAAAAAATCGCGTCGGTGTTTTTCGAGGCGGGGGGAGAGAAAACTGGGAAATGCTTTAGGGTTCCTTCACCGCCTCTTCGTTCTCTTCAGTCTTCCCCATTGCTCCGCCTCTTGCCGTCTCCAATGCTCTGTCTCTAATTTTTTTCAAGGCGGGGGAAGAGAAAACTGGGAAATAAGCCCTCAGCGACCATTCATGGGTTGTTTGTGTTATCTTAGCCAGATCTAGCAGCAACGGTGGGGTTTTTGGGTGATTTCTACTTCTTACCCCTTCCACTTGAGCGGCGTAGCCAGATCTACACCTGATCTGGTAGCTTTAGTCCTTGAAGGGGGATTCCATCAACTTCAACTGCTTGAGGTTCAATCCAATTTTTCCTTAAGGTATCCCTTCATCAAAGAGCAAATTTGCTATAAATAAGTAACATGCATCAAATTTTAAGAGTTTAAAAATTAACCTTGTGATTTATGGGGTTTTTTCGTTCATTGCAACTGCATCTTTTAAGAGATTTATTCCTTTACTAGTCATAATTTTATCTCTAATTCACGCACTTCCTTCAGCCCCTGTTTTAGATCAGCTTTTTAAGCATATCAAAGGAACTGTAATCGAATTTTTCGGATCTTTTACCCTAACCATAACCTGAGCATGTCTATTTCCAATATCTAAAAGCTTGTATTAAACAAGATAATTTTAATTAATTGTGAATTTTTCAAGTCTGTGCTTGTATTGGCTAAGATGGTTAATCACTTGTTTCTCTCTCTAATTTTGTTCAAATCACAGAAGTTATTCACTTGTGTACTCTTGACTGGTTATTTAAAAGTCCACATCCCTACAACAAATATAAAGAGAATGATAGTGAAAAGTTTGTTTTGACTTTTATTTACATATTTTAACTGCGGCATAAATATTGTAGATGGATGGTGATTTTGATGATGAAGAGGTTGTTAAAAGAATGTGTGTTGGGGCTGCATTTTCAGTCATGGTAATAATTTTTACATTTTTGAGGAGAATTAAATGTCGCCGTATATCAATACGGTCTGGACCAAGTGATGAGAACTTAAGGAGGGAAAAGACTAGGGCTGATTTGATGAGACGAATATTTCATGGTTATAGTGATAACTGTCAAAACTTTGTTAGAATGCGTCCGGATGCATTTATGAAACTAGCAACGTTAATGAGGAAACTCGATCTCTTAAAGGACTCAAGGCATGTAACAGTAGAGGAGCAACTTGCCATAACTTTGAATATTTTGGGACATAAATCCAAAAATCGTACTAAAAATCGGACGATGAGAACACAGTTCATAAGATCAGGGGATACAGTCAGTAAATACTTCAATAGAGTATTGCAAGCTATTTCGTGCATACAAGGCCGATTTATGAAACAAGCACCGAATGAAGTACCTCAAGAGATCCTAAGCAACCCATCATTTTATCCATTTTTCAAGGTATATCATCCACTCTACCATTTTCCAAAACAATTCTCTAAACAAATCATAAATTACTTTAACATAGTAAGTTGTACTCCTTAGGATTGCGTAGGTATGATAGATGGGACACATGTGGATGATATGCTACCTGCTGCACTTGTTTCGCGTTTCAGAGGGCGAAAAGGTGTCACACAAAATATTCTTGCGGCTTGTACACCAAACAAACTGTTCACTTATGTTTTAGCTGGGTGGGAGGGGTCGGCTAACGACTATAGAATCCTTCAAGATACTCTGTCTAGACTACAACCATATGGCTTACGGGTGTACCCGGGTAAAATTCTTGTTAACTCAAATTGTGATTCCTCACTAATTATTACGTTATACAAATCTTATTAAAATACTGTGTAATATGTAGGAAAATATTACTTGTGTGATGCGGGCTACACAACCCAGCCGGGTTTCATATCCCCATATCGTGGTGTTCGTTATCATCTAAAGAAATTTACGGTAAGAACACCTCAAAATAGGAGGGAGCTATTCAATCTTAGGCATTCATCTTTGAGGTCAAAGATTGAAGCTACCTTCGGTATATTGAAGAATCGTTTCAAGATTCTCACCGTAAAACCCCACTACCCTTTCCCCGCACAAGTTGACATCATTCTGGCGTGCACAGTTCTCCATAACTACATTGCAACAGTTGATCCCGAGGATGAATTGCTCAATGAGACCAATTACATTGAAGAGGAGGACGTCGAAGAGGAAATTAATGAAGAAACCAACATTATGAATTTCACGCAGTCGCAGACAGTAAGAGAACAAAACGCCTCAAAGGATGAGTGGAGGTCTCGTAGAGATCAAATCGCATTGGACATGTGGATTGATTATTGTAGTAAATATCGGCATGGTGACACTCACGAGTCTGCCTTGTGATTTGCTACCGTAGTCCTGAAGTTTTTATAAGTATTTTATGTTGGTCGTGTAACTTATTAATGAGAAATCTTGCAGACTATAATATTGTTTCCACTTTGTCATTACTTGTTATGACTCGCATATGACTTTTTTACAACTGAATTTGTTGAAATATAGGAAATGGGTGAAAAATCATCCTCCGAAGGGAATAATTCAACGGCCCCAACAACATCTCATGCGTTCCCTGCAAGCATTGGCTTTCCCCACAGTGTCAATCCCATGTTCCAGTCATCCTCGCCCTTTGTGCAATCACCGTCAGTTTTTTCAAATGTGCCTCACTACGATGGTAATTTTTTCCCTTTGCATCACCCCATTTCATCTTACATGCACATGCTCAGTAGTCCACCACCTTTGCCACAAAATTTTCAAGGTTCCAATTCATCCGGGCAAGTTCATTCTCCAGCTAGTATTACAGGGACTACTTCTGATTCAGGGAAAAACAAAAGAATTGCCAGGGATGAAGCAGTAGCAACTTCTGCTTGTTCACCAAGAAAAGTCAAATCCCTTGCCCATAAGAAAAGAAAAATCCCACTCGAGCTTGAAGCTGCAAAAGTTGGCCCAACCAGATGGTGGACCTCTGCACATGATGACGTGCTCATACCCTTCTTCGCAAATTTGGCCAAGTCTGGTCTTAAGCCAGACAATAACTTTAAGCAGCATGCATTTGCAATGGCTGCCGCTGAAGTGAACAACCAGTTTGGTACTTCCTTTCAAGCGAAAAGTGTTGTAAACCATATGAAAACAATCCGTTCTTGGTTTCAAGACATGCAGGCTGCTCGTAACATTAGCGGGGCGGGTTGGGATGAAGAAACGCAAACGATCATGTTGGATCCTGAGAGTTTTGATACGTGGAATGAGGTAAATACCATCGAAAAATATTTTTTGGCTTTTGATTCTTTCTCCTACACGTTGGTTAAATGTTGTATATTGATGCGTGCAGGATAAAAATAAGAGCAAGCTAAAAGATTACATTAATAAGCCTCTGAAGCACTATGAGAACCTAGCAATCATTTGTGGGGATGATCAAGCAAGGGGTAACTTTGCTAAGGCAGCAATGGAGAAATTTGGGGGTCAGGAGCCGATTAACCTTGCAGGTGATGACGATGAGGATGTTAGCATTCATATGTCCCAAAAGTCCCCGCACTCAGTCAACTTAGCAGATGAAGATAATCAATCTGAAAACAACAATGTTAGGTCAAGTCAACTTAGCAGATGAAGATAATCAATCTGAAAACAACAATGTTAGGTCAACTAGCAAGGACAAACAGAAGAAAATCCCTTCGGCTAGAGGGAGGGGGAGGAAGGCCCCATACCAGCAAGAGATCATGCAACAAATGGTTGAGGAAGTTAAACATTTTTCTCATTCTCTAAATCTTATTAATCTGCACTGGACAGAGAAATTGTCCAAAGCTATCTTCAAGCATAAGGATACTTACACAATAGAATTCTTTGAGCTTTTTTATGATCACATTTTTGAGGATGAAACCAAGGCCAGGCATTTTATAGGGAAGAGTGACTTCGGCCAGAGAACTTTGTTGGAAAATTTTAAGAAAATGCAAGATGGGGGGAGCTAGTTTGAATATTTAGGTACGTAGTTTGATCTGGTGCTTAAACGGTAGTGCAAGCTATCAGAAATAATCCTCGCTCATCTCTTTACCTATTGTTATTTACAGGATCATTCTGGAGATGGTTGGGACATATATATTTTGCATATTTTGTGAGCACAATGATGTTGTTATTTTGTAAGAACTGCTAGTTGGTGGGTATGCATGTATATTTTTTGGATACGTTGCTCTGTAGCTACGTTTGTGATTTATGATGCAACCGTATGTATGATGATGAGGGCTGCTTACGTTGTAGTCATGTCAATTCTTACTTTGATTGACATTGTTTTTTTTCCTTATTTCAGGTGAACGTTGGTTTAATGCAATTATATGCAGGTGTCCCATTCATCGCTAACACAAGCTGGTATGACAAGTTGTCACTATCTGCATTTTACTTGCATGGTGCTATGATGAGGTCATGCAAATTTTATATGCAATCACATGTAGCTTAACAATGTCAAGGCGAGGCATGTTCTTGTTGGCCACAAGCACTTAACATTTATTGCAGCCTTAAGTTGTTATAGCTACATTGTACTTGCATAACTGTTTGTTGATGAAGAGCTTGAGCACTGTTTTTTGGGCAGTTTGTGTATGCATGATTTACTTGTGCAATGATGACTGTCTTTTACCTGATATTCTTCACCAGTAGATAGTACATGCAATGTTTTGGCGAGGCAATCCCAACATTTACGTAATGAGATAAGGAGTAACATGTATAGGAATGCAACCAACATTATGATGCAATTGTTTACTAGTGTGGGATATATGATAATGTAGACATATATCTGAGCACAATTTGTCAAACTTTATTTATCATTCTCACCATTGGATAATAATACCTTACCATTTTTGCAAAGTGTTACTAATCCAATTCAAGAGATATATATTTTGAACTCAGACTTTATTTACACATGAGGACTGTTATTTATCATTCTCACATGTTTTTCTTTTGTGAGTTTTTGGCATATAACAATAGCAGTTTGTGTTATTGGTTTAGCAACATGTTTTTTTTTACCTATATGCATGGTGGGATTTGCGGCAATATTTTCATCTCAACCTGTTCAGTGGTGTATTTGAACTCAGACTTTGAACATGAGTCCCTGCATTCTTCTCAAACTTTTGCAAAGTGTTACTAATCCAATTCAAGAGATATATATTTGATCTCAGACTTTATTTACACATGAGGACTGTTATTTATCATTCTCTCGTGGTGTTCTTTTGTGAGTTTTTGGCATATAACAATAGCAGTTTGTGTTATTGGTTTAGCAACATGTTTTTGTTACCTATATGCATGGTGGGATTTGCGGCAATATTTTCAAGTAAACCTGTTCAGTGGTGTATTTGAACTCAGTCTTTGAACATGAGTCCCTGCATTCTTCTCAAACTTTTGCAAAGTGTTACTAATCCAATTCAAGAGATATATATTTGATCTCAGACTTTATTTACACATGAGGACTGTTATTTATCATTCTCACATGTTTTTCTTTTGTGAGTTTTTGGCATATAACAATAGCAGTTTGTGTTATTGGTTTAGCAACATGTTTTTGTTACCTATATGCATGGTGGGATTTGCCGCAATATTTTCTAAGTAAACATGTTCAGTGGTGTATTTGAACTCAGACTTTGAACATGAGTCACTGCATTCTTCTCAAACCTTTGCAAAGTGTTACTAATCTAATTCAAGAGATATATATTTGAACTCAGACATTATTTACACATGAGGACTGTTATTTATCATTCTCACATGTTTTTCTTTTGTGAGTTTTTGGCATATAACACTGAACAGTTTGTGTTATTGGTTTACTCACATGTTTTTGTTACCTATATGCATGGTGGGATTTGCGGCAATATTTTTATCTCAACCTGTTCAGTGGTGTATTTGAACTCAGACTTTGAACATGAGTCCCTGCATTCTTCTCAAACTTTTGCATTACATTTTCAAACAGCAGATTACAATGTTTATGACAACAAGGGAAATACTAAATATTCCTAAAACAACAATACATTTCTTTAAGTAAACAACTTGTTGGTTTGCAAGCTTCAATTCTCTTCGCAAGTGCTTGGTTTTCACATCTTTACTTTGGGAAACTGATAGAGGAGAGGGACATTCAAGAAAATTTACCTGACGCTTGTTATCTTGATGCTCTTCTGCCCACCTAAAATACTGGCATTGCCTATTTGGATAGTTGGCGCAGCCCCAAAAGTATTTGCCCTTGTTTACTCCTGTTTTGCAAAGCTTCAGTGGCGTCGGTATGTTACAGTAGCAAGTTACCTCTGCAGGTAATTCATGAGTGTCTTGGCTTGTTTTCATATCGCAACTTTAATTGCCTCTATGCTCAAGTATTTTGCCCAGGTTTCTTGCAATTTTATGAGAGAATATGTTGAGGAGGATTGAGTTGATCCCAACTATATAAGTGCAGGGGTGGGGTAATTTATTTCCGTTGGTAAAATATTGACGTTACAAATGATCTGCACTGTTTTGAGATGTGGTTTTTTGACCGTTGCTTAAAATTTACCGTTGGGTGTTTCAGTTGAGCGTTATGGGGAGGTAAGCTCACCGATTGATTTCAATAATGGTTTCCTATATTTGAGGTTGTGGCATACGAACAGGTGAAATGCAAGAAATGTGACAAAGGACAATACATTTCTTTAATTGCATAGTGTTGAAACGAACATAAGAAATGTGAATTTTGATTTCAATCCCTTGATTTCCATGTTGAAACGAACATATTACTTCAAATCTGAGAAACCACATTGAAATGCTAGGAAATAGATTTCGTGGTACATTGCACATTTCTTTTTTTTTTTGCAGAAAACAACCGAACAGACCCTTAGGTGAAAACTAGGATAAGAAGAAGTAAAGACAAATCTTTGAACAACAGACGTGAGAGAGATTACTTGATCTCCTTTTACCTTCAGACTTGGCAAAGAACTCTTTCCATTCACCAGTCATGACAAACAAAACATCTCCTTCTTCGTCTTCGACTTCCAAGATCTCTTCCAACTCTCCCTGCTCCAATTTGCTAATAGTAGAATAAACAGATTACTAATAGTAGAATAAACTTCTCTTCCAACTCTCCCTGCTCCAATTTGCTAATAGTAGAATAAACAGATTACTAATAGTAGAATAAACTGATTTAAGTATCAACCCTGCTCCAATTTGCTAATAGTAGAATAAACAGATTACTAATAGTAGAATAAACTGATTTAAGTATCAAAATTCATTGAGAAAATAATTAGAAGGCAAACCTTGATGAATCAAGCATGAAATCTAAGTTTGCTACTGGATGATGTAAAAATGAAGCTTCTGAACTCGAAAAAAAAAGCTTTGATCCACTATTTCTAGGTAGGCTAAGTGAATCATATTCTTCATTCAACTTTATTAACGTAACAAAATCAGCTAAGTGAATCATATTCCCCATCCATCATAGGCAACATGGTAACCATTAGGAGTATTAGCCTCGACGGTCGTATCATACCTAAGTATTCAACCAATCAAACACAGAATCAACAAAAGAAAACAACTCAAAATTTATCCAACTTAATCATAAACTCTTACTCACCACTCCCCAGACTCGTATTCCTTTTTTAACAAAAACATTGGAAATCCGAACCAACGGTTTTACACTCGTGGTGGGCTAGTGGACGGTGCCCGAGCCTGGTTGTGGAATATAGCAGTATGTACTGGCGCCAAATTTTGTCTCCTGAATACTGATCGCCACTTAAAGCTCACATATCTATGTTGCAAATGGATCAAGGATGCTAACGGGCTTGTCCCCCTGCGGTCAATTGAGGATCTGATGGCGGAAGCTGCATCGCGTATCGCTGCGAGGCTAGTCCGAGAAGATGCATTAGAACGAAGGAGACGCGACAGGAAGCTTGCTGGTCCCTCAAGGAAAGGCAAGCGGAAAATAGAGGAAGTTGAAGAGGAGTCATTCGTTTCTGAGGAGGAAACTTCCGAAGAAAATGAAGTCACCACTGGTGGTACTACGGAAGTCAACAGCGACTTCGACGAAGATGCGGCAGATTTGTCTGAATCTTTTTATAAAGAGCTATGAGATCTATCGATCGCTGATTGAGTACGTCGACTTAAAGCTCGAAAGAAGTGAAGAATTTTGCCTACTTATAATAGAATGATGGTTGAACTTTCAGATGTAGGTTCCGAGGAGGAAGAGGAGAGAGATGGCCTCATCACCCGTGCTCGATCTCGGGCCATAACTCAGGCAGGATCGCAAATTGAGCCGCATGCCACATCAACACAGGATAGACATGTGGATCTCAAAGAGACCGGGCCTACAAAACGGTTGAAATTGACCATCAAGCGCCACGCTAAACCTCAGGCTTCTCAAACGGAGGTGGTCGACGATACACTTGTTGGTAAGGAAGGTAATATTTCGGCTCTTGTTGACTTTCCGGTTCTTTCCTCTACCAAGCTTTAGGCTTCACAAATTCTATATCCCAGGGGGTCATGACAACCCCCCTTCTCCCGACATAGGCTTCTTCGGAGGATCTTGCTTTGTACCACAAGCAGGATAGGCCGCGAATCAGGATCTGCTCGGTGTTGGAACTAATTTGTCCCTGGTGGTTGCTAGCCCAGGTACTCCCATTACCGGTAGTACACCTTTTAGATGGCAATCTCGGGTATTAAACGACTCAGGGTTTGTCCCTCTTCTAATTGCTTATATATTTCTGGCTCTTTTAGAAAAGCTACAAGAGGCAATTGTTAACGTTGGGATTGAAGAGCATGCCGTCACCACTGGAGGTGAATTTACTTCTCTTTCATTGCTGATTTTTAACTTCTCTTTTCATGTTTTAACACTTAGAATTTTTTTCAGATGTTTCAATAGAAGGCCCAAATGATAAAGAAACCTTTCATCATGCAGCCGATGCACCTCCGTCTGATCCCATACAGGACCCTTCGGGCTCTAGCGACAGGCTACTTGACGACATGTTGTTAGAACAAATTTGTCGTGATGCTATCGAACCGGTCATCGAAGCTGTTGAACTAGTCATCGAGACTGTTGAACCAGTCATTGAGCCCAGTTCCTCTGCAGGTATGGATTTTGTCCTTCTGTGAAAGTTATTCCCTTATTAGTTTTACTTAACCTTAAGGGAGTTATATTTGTAGGACCAGTCGTTGAGACTGATGCAACTACTATTGTTGAGATATCTGACGATCCTAAGGGTCTTGATTTCTTGCTGTTGGCAGGAACTATCATAGAAGCTCAATCGTCAATTGCTCCAACTCAGCTCACAATCCCTGCGACGGAAGCGACTGCTACAACTGCGGGGATTAGTCCTGATGAAGAAGCCGTGAGACCAACTAATGAGGTTAGTACATCAACGGTTACGACATCGGCGACGATCTTAAAAGCTCAAGAGGTTGTAACCGGCAGAGGCAAGTGCGGGCCCTCATCTTGAGGAAACATCACTTGACTTTGGTAAATTCTTACACCGATGCTGATTTAGAACTTTGGATAAGATTTCAAAGGTATTTATATCCTCTTTTCCTTGTAGGACCGTCCTCTCGACTCAATGATATGGTCAAAGCTCTGTTATCTGATGATGATCCAGATCAAGCTCTGCTTTGCATGGAAATCGGCTCTCTTTTCTTCTTTGTGAATGCGATGATTGATAAGCTTCTCGTTAAGTGATTCTCCTTTCATCAATTTCGACCAGCGCTTTCCGTCAAAATAAATGCTATAGAGAAAGCGAGCTCTCTGGATTTGGCGCAAGCTGTAGTTGGCGATCTGGACCGGCTGGAGCGTGCATTTCAACGGTTATAATTGATTTTTGTAGATTTTTCAGAAAGCTTTGTTCTAAAGTTATAGACGACCGTGGCTTTGAGAAACTTGGAGAAATTATTTCAGAAACAATGTGTGAAATGGAGATGTTCTTTCCTCTATCTTTTTTCACAATAATGGTTCATCTTACACAACATCTTGCGGAGGAGACTGCAATAGCAGGACCAGTCCATTATCGTTGGATGTATCCAATAGAGAGGTTAGTATTTAGATACTTTTAATCGTTACCTATCACTATTTATATCTATTAAATATTAATATCTTTACATCTATATCTAATTAATTATTATTTTTAGATATTTAGGTTCAATGAAGCGTCAATTGCGTAACTGAGCTCGACCAGAAGGTTCAATAGCTGAAAGTTACGTGAGAACCGAGTCTCTTATTTGTCTCTCGTTATATGAGAGGGGAACAAACTGAATTTCAAGCACCTGTTGATAATAAGAATAACACAGTTCTCTATCCTCGCGAGCTAAACAAAAATTATTCTAACATATTGCTAGATCAAGCGCATGCATACGTAGTAAATAATCTTAAAATCTTCTCGGAGTACCGGAGGTAAAATATCTAAAAAGAGTTTTGAATTTAATCTTTAATATTTATTTTGATAATAATAAATAAATTTATTGCATTAATAGGCAACATTAGGAAAAACTTAAGAATGAAGTTACCGATAGTACAGCTGTACATGACATTAAAGAAAGGCATATGAAGGAATTCCCTACTTGGTTGAAAAATAAAGTAAGTATTATTAAATTTAGCAATATTTGTATTTTTTTTGATAAAAAACTTAGAAATTATTGATTTAATAGTTTTCTTATTTTTTATATTTAGATCCAGGAACAACTTGTCCTTAATAATCAAATATCAGAAGAAGTAAAGGTTCACGCAAAGCGGTCTTACTATGCTATAAGTCAATATGGTGGGTATCGTGTTAACGGTTATAAATTTCACACACTGGAGGTTGATGATACGAAGGTCACCCAGAATAGTGGTGTCATGGCTACCTTCTCACGAGAATGTTTCTCAAACAGAAGAGATCAGAATCCAGTTGAAAATAATATAACATATTATGGAAGGTTGGAAGATGTGGTGGAGATTTCTACGGCTATGGTGGTCCAAATGAACATAAATACATTATGTTCATGATTCGTTGGTGTTTTGCAAAGACTCAAAAGGATCCCTTTGGATTTACAATTGTCAATCTCGATAAAGAAATTGATAGTGATGAAAAATTCATGTTTGCATCTCAGGTGGGACAATGTTTCTATGTGAAAGATCATGTGGTTAAAGACGACTGGGTTGTCCTGTACAAGGATTCTAGGGCTTATATTCAACCTTCTACCAATGAAGATGATGACGAGAGCTATATAAACAACTTCAGTGAGCCAAATGCAGCGATCGATGAATTCTCGTACATTCAAAACGTAGTGTTTGATACGGATGCTCCAACAATTCGGACAGACATTTCAAATATTATCACAGACATTAATAGGAGCTAAACAACAATTATTTGTAATCGAGTCTTCATGTAGCTTTTTTTAGTTTGCAAATTGTAAAATGAAAACTTTAATATCACTATGATGTATCTCAATTACCTTTTGGACGATATAAATATGTAATATCTTATTTTGTATATTCAGCTTGCAGATGCCTACAAACTTGATGTAAAATAAAAATTTTAGTAACGCAATAATACATCTTGTTTTTATTTTCGCCAAGCCAAATTGCATCTATAATATATTAATTTGTATGTTTATTCAACTTGCAGATGTCTAAAAACATTAACAGGAGGTTATTTGAAGCTAATCCCAGTCAAGACCAATCCACTGAGGAAGAGCCACCGAGTTCAGGAGAGATGTCAGGTATAACTTAGTTTAACTTAAGTATTTTTTATTCATGATATATGCACAATGATAATTTATTTCTTTTATTTTTTCAGATGAGGGTGAGGAAGAGCCGACTCCCGTACCATTATATGAAGATCCTTCAGTGCTACTTCGAGCATATATTCCCGGGATTGAGCGCGGGCCTTTACTAACATGTGCAGAGGGGTACAGACTTAAGCAGACAGAAAAATACATGCTTGCCAAAAAAACGATTGGATGAATGGGGCCCACAGATTGATGAGATATTATCTGATGCAAAAAATAAAATCAGACAAAGATTTGGTGAGTTTGATCAAGATTTTTGAGTATTTCATAATAATAAATTAAATTCTAAGAGCTTAAGATTGATTAAATAAAAGTGTTGATATATTTATTATTTTTTCTTTGTTGTAGGAGAAAAACTTTACCAGAAAAAAGGACGCCAAGGAAGTGACTTTAAAAAAGTTACCAACGGATAGTTTTCGAGCAATTGTGAGATGGCGACATAATGGGATTCCAACTGGACAATGGGTTAATAACTTTAGCTCATACCTTGGATGCTTGATACGGAGGAGTGATAATGTGAATCCTTATTACGAGGCCGAGGAGCAGCCATTTCATGTCCTGGAGAGTATATATCGAGATTGTTGGATAAATTCTTCTATTTAGCATAATTATTTTTTAATTATGTCAATTGTCCATGCTTAACTATATGTTAATTTTTAGAGATATTTCAACATCGAAGATAATCCCGTAGGGTGGGAATTTTTATTTGGATACATGGGAAAGTTCAAGCATTCTCTTCGGGAGTGGAGACATGAGGTAAAGAAGAAATGTTTTGATTGTTTCACTCACAACTGGAAGAAGATATACAAACGAGATAAGAGGGTTGAGCCTGAGCACTTAGCTACATTTATAGTATTGTGGGGCCAAGAGGAGCACCTGGTAAATATGTATAGTAGTTAATTATCATCAAGTTATTTATTTGAAACTAGTGATATATTTCATTGTATATTATAGCTTGTACTAAAATTTTCTTTGTTCATGTTGAAGAAAAAATATCAGAGAAATAAACTAAATCGATGGAAGAAAGATTATGATCATCATACGGGGACTACTTCATTTGCCCAGATTGAGGATCAATTTTGTAGGACAACGGTATAAAGTCTTTTAATCTTCTATATATATTCTCTCCGCTTCCTAGAATATTTGATAAATAAAACTAATAAATATATTTTTAAATCTCTCTCAGAACGCTTCATTTATCCCGCTGCCAGAACTGCACAGGAGGACGATGGTTCACTTTAGAAAGGGATACGATGACGATGAGAATAAGAAATAAAAGCTAGAATTGGCCAAGAAAATACAGGTTAACTAATTATCTTAGCTCTTATTAGCTTGTTCTTTTGTTGGGAATTTATTATTTGCACTCTTCTTTTGGTCATCTTAATTATCATACATGAATTATATGTGTGAATGTGTTAAGGAAGATGCATGCATACATACCATTTATTAGCACTTAGCCCCCTCAATTGTGGAACTACTTCATCTTTTATTTTACTTGTTCAGGTAAATATATCTTTTATTTTTGAAAGGTCAATTCTTAAATTTATTTTTTTGTCTTTTAGGAAGCTCTGGAAAACACATATGCTGAGCTTGTTGCACAGAGCCAGGAGCCCCTGGCTAGAGAGCAGAATTATAATGTGAGCCATTTAGTTTGTGGACTTCCCAAAAAGGGGAGGACCAGGTGGATGGGAGTTAGAGCTCAGAGGGTGTCTACACCATTCCAGCCTCCGCCGATTTCAACGCCATCGACTATGCCCTCGGGGCCTACACCATTCCAGCCTCCGCCGATTTCAACGCCATCGACTATGCCCTCGGGGCCCTCTTACATGCCGCATGAGGATTGCACTCAGCAGGCGATGTAGCTTGTTTCCTCTGTGATGAATATGTTAGATGGTCAGATTTCCGAGGAGATGTGGAAGGATATTCAAGAGGAGCTTATGTGAGTAATCCACCTTACTGCTACTTTTGCGATGGTTTCCGGCAAATAATGAAATCTTGTAGAAGGCGGGTTCTTACTCTGGTGCAAAAGCCAGATTATGAACTTTTTGGCCACTTAAAAGGTATTTACTGGTAGTGGAGAGAGTAGCAGACATGTATACTTATTATATATGTAAAACATGATTACACACAATATTATGTGATTCTAAATTTAAATTATTTTATTGTTAGAGTGGAGATGATGCTATTGGGAGCACGAGTCGTAGAGATAGAGTCGTCAGTGACAACGCCGGCGATGACATGGATAGGGCGGATGATCTATCTTAGTGAGTTTTATCCTAAACTCGTGTTTGTATATTGGACATCTTTATATTGGAGATTATGATATGCGTTTATGGTTTGTTGTGGAAATTTTTGTGGATTTAGAACTTATGATATGCGTGTATGGTTTGTTGTGGAAATTTTTGTGGATTTAGAACTTATCGTGAAAATTGAATGTACATATTTCGAATGTTTGTGAAAATTGATTGGATGAGAGATGTTTGTGAAATTTGGATTGTATATATTTTGAGATGTTTGAATGTGCAAGAAATGTCATTGTTTGCAGATTTGTATGTACAGGGAATTGATATGTACAGAGAACTGATTATAATCAGCAAAAAAAATTTTAGCTGCTAATACCTATCGCTGACGGGAATCCCGTCAGCGATGTATATAACATCGCCGACGGGAATCTCGTCAGCGATAGGTTATCCTTAACGAGATTCCTGTCGGCGATGTGAATAATATCGCTAATGGTAATCCCATCAACGATATGTATCGCTGACGGGATTCCCGTCAGCGGTTGTGGGTTCAGCGCTGACGAATTGTTGTCAGCGATATACATAACATCGCTGACGGGATAGCCGTCAGCGATGTTTCATTATCGCTGACAACATTTGCCGTCAACGTTATTGTCGTCAGTAATATACATTACTGACGGCACCCCGTCAGGTATAATTCTTCCCTGATGGGACAACTGCTGACGGTGTATCCTTAACGGGAAGCCGTCAATGATATTTATCGCCGACAGGGATTTAGACATTCTTGACGGGAATGCCCGTCAATGATTCCTGGTTTTCCACTAGTGATAGTGGAATTGCAACCCTAGGCACTAATGACGAGATATACTATGAGTACCTTGATAACATACTTGGTATCAACTATCCAGGACGAGCAGGATGCATTTATGTCTTTCAATGTGTTTGGTATAATATGAAGATTGGAACTTGTAAGTGGAGAGACAATTACGGGACTTGGGTAGATGAATATGGATTAACGAGTGTAAACACCACACATTTTTCCTTTGAACACGATCCGTTTATATTTCCAGAGCAAGCATTTCAAGTATACTACTCGAAGTGCTTGATGCATTCGAGGTGGAGTGTTGTATGTCGATGGAGGCCCATGGATACTACAACGTCCCACAATTCATAGATTCAGAGGTTGAAGAGATCAATGATGACGAAGAATTTGAGCAGAGAGTTGTATGTCAAGATAAATCTCCTGAATCTGATAAAATTTTGTGGGTTAGGAATGATTTGAATAGTGAAATACTTGTAGATATTCCTACAACTTCTAGGGAATCTGTAGATCCTAACACTTTTTTAAAGCAAAAAAGGTGACCATTATAAAAATTCATGTTATTTAAAATTTATATCTTCAAATTTATAAATTTCTATTTCGCATATATCTTATATGAATTGTAAAATGCTTTATAGGTCTTGATGAATATGTGTGGAATTCCATCACGGAGCAGATCACGTAGACTTATACAGCGCGGAGACCTGCATTGTCTAGCGCTAGAGCTTAGAAGAGAACTCGAATCTACTCATCATGTTGCTACATCCATACCTAGTATTGGGGAGTTTACTCCAGTTAGAGGTGACTATTTAATTTTCTTTTGATTCTATTTGAACATGACACCTAATCTTTATCCAGTTAGAGGTAACTATTCAGCATCAAACTAAAAAGACACCTTCTACTGAAATACCTTTTTTTTTACGAAGCAGATCTTCTATGTTCAATATCTTTTATCACTAAACATAACAAGACTTTAACTTTTGATGAAACTGGTAATTTTCAAATCTCAAAACATTCAAATCTGATGAAGGATAGGTACATAGAAGATGTTCTATGCATTTTGTTTGACTCAAAAACTTTCCTACGTCGTTTTCAGTTGCAAAAAAGATTTTTTACTTGCAGTCCATCTCTTACACAGATATAGATGCAAATCGACAAGCACCTACAGAAGAAAATGATCTACAAACGACCCCCCCGCCCTTCACACTCCATACCTTCTGGACAATCGTCAGGTTAGTATCTCTTCTACACTCAAACTTGGATGTAATTCAGATGCTTACATAATGCTTATATCTCTTACATAATTTCGGAAGACTTCTTTACAAGTTCATGTCCACCGGTGTTTGCACAAACACACACATATTTACATGTATGCAGTAGCACATGCACACAGTCATGCACACGAGATGTTTTCTGGATGCAGCTGAACAAATGTTAAATAGAAATTTGTAAATTGACCCCAGTTCCTGCAGTTGAAATGCTGGAATTTATTTGCTGTGTATCTGCTGTAGATACGCAGCAGATAACACACATTGCTGTGTATCTGCTGCAGATACACAGAAGATACACACGCTGCTGTGTATCTGCAGCAGGTAC